AGCACAACACACACTTGCCAGGGAGCGTCTCTGCCTGATCCCGGCAGCTGGGCTCCGAGCACAGGTAGGTGCCCAGGCCACAGGGTGGATGCACTGGGCCAGGCAGAGCCCCGGGAGGAGGAGCGGGGGTTGTGGGGGATGGGGGGAGACACCTGACCAGCTCTTTCCCCTGAGCTATTAATGTCTTCAGGGAGCCCTTCGTACCTCAGTTACTTCTGCAAAATGCAAACACGAATGCATTTGTTGAATGAGAAATTGACCACTGAGCTCATGAAGTGGCCTCTGGCTCAAGGAATTGACGTTTTCAAATTTTGCTTTAAAAAAAAATGGCAGAGAGACGGCTCAAAGCCTAGGTCCCAGAGGGTGACAGCAGGTTGAGAAACCTGTGAGTCAGAAGAAGAAGCCTGTCTAGTCCGGCTTCCTCTGAGGCCCTTCTCCCAGCCGTGCCCAGCGACCTGCCCGCACTGCTGCTCAGCGGCCAGAGTGAGCTCCTGAGGCTGCACTCGAACCCATTGCTTTAGGGCAGTGGTTCTCAACCTCCTGGCCCTTTAAATACAGCTCCTCATGTTGTGGCCCAGCCATAACATTATTTTCGTGGCTACTTCCTAACTGTCATGTTGCTACTGTTATGAATCGTCATGTAAATATCTGATATGCAGGATAGTCTTAGGCGACCCCTGTGAAAGGGTTGCTCGACCACCAAAGGGGTCGCGACCCACAGGTTGAGAACCGCTGCTTTAGAGGAACTGGCTTTTGGAGAGAAGAGGATGGAAGCAAAGATGGGGAACAAAGTTAGGGTTTCAGATCCTCCCCAGGGCTCCTGATGATCTCCTGCCTCCTCCACCCCCCACCACACACACACGCGTGCCCGCACACATGCACACGCCCTCTCACGCGCACACCTACTCTGCAGCTGGTCCTCTTGCCCCGGCCCTGCTGGCCGCCTGGAGCCGCCACCCGCTAGCTCACAGCCGCAGGAAGTGTGGACTCAGGCAAGTGGGCGGGGAGGGGCTCCGGGCTCGTGTTGCAATCCTGGAGATTTCTGGTGATGTGGTTGCCACTGCCTGACCTGGGGCCCTTCCTTCTAGCACATTTCTGCTTCCTGGGACAGTCCCAGGCCTGGATGCCAAAGCCCAGAATTCTCAGTCCCTGGGAGAGGTGACAGAGAAAAGGGTTGTCTCTGCAGAATGGCGGTTTGGGAAGGGGGTGTGGGGCCAGGGGCCAGGTGGACTGCCCTGGGGTGGGACCGGCTGGGGCTGTGGGTGAGGGCCTGGCGGCTGTGCTTGCTTTTGGAGAAGTGACTTCACCTCTCTGTGCTGCACACTTCCCCTGCCCCCTCGCCTCTGGGAACGGAGCCCTTCATGGGATGATCTCGGGCTCAGCTACCGGACAGGCCCCCGTGTCCATCCCAGGTCAGTGATGGAATCCCGGACTCTCGAATGTTCTTCTAGGCAGAAGGTGGCCGGCAGCCGAGGGCAGGAGATGCAGAGCACAGCCAATTACCTGTGGCACACGGACGACCTGCTGGGCCAGGGGGCCACTGCCAGTGTGTACAAGGCTCGGAACAAGGTAGGGCCCAGGCCTGGCCCCCGCGCCCCCTCTGGCCCGCCAGCCCCCTGTGGGCAGCCAGGCGGTGTGTGGCTGGGCAGAGGCCTCTGGACTTGGCCTTGCACACTCTGGGGTCAGGGACACCGGGGGTTTGAGCAGAAGTGTGGGAGCTGCGGAGGGCTCCTCGGCCTGGTCCCTCCGTTAGGCGGTTTGGAACTGGGGCGAGTGATGAGAACACAAAGCTGACACCGGGAGATGACAGCAAATGTCGGAACAGCAGGGTATCCGGTGTGCTGAGCCCCTGTCACCTCTCAGTACTGGATGGCTGGGTACCCTCTGAGCTGGGGAAGGAGCTGGGGGGAGCCCATCCCCATCCGGGCTGTCTTGGCTCATGTCTGGTGTTAGGCTGGCAGACGAGGCTGAAGGAGGAGGCTTGGGGTGAGGGTGCTCCCCAGACAATGGACTGTCCCCAGCCAGAGCCCCTAGCCGCCCCCTCTGTCCCGATGGCAGAAATCCGGGGAGCTGGTTGCTGTGAAGGTCTTCAACGCCGCCAGCTACCTGCGGCCCCGCGAGGTGCAGGTGAGGGAGTTTGAGGTCCTGCGGAAGCTGAATCACCAGAACATCGTCAAGCTCTTCGCGGTGGAGGAGACGGTGGGTGCAGTGCCCGGGCAGAGGACGGTCTTGACTTTGACCTTCGCAGGCTGGAAAGAGTCGGGTCACACACTAATAGAGACTTGGTCACGTGCTCACCAGCAGGTCAGCCAGAGCAGCAACGTGTAGATTCAAGTAAATAATGTGGGGGTGGCACAGGGGAAAGTAAGGATAGGAAGTAGGGTGTAACCAAAGAGGGCTTCCTGGAAGAGGCGGCCTGGGACTCAGGTGTGTGGGATCAGCGTGAGGCTGAGGGACAGCCAGGCCCGAAGTCGGGACCTGGAGAAGGGCTTTGGCTGTAGGCTGAGTCACCTCCTCTGTCCCACCTGCAGGGGGCCAGCCGGCAGAAGGTTCTGGTGATGGAGTACTGCTCCAGCGGGAGCCTGCTGACCGTGCTGGAGAGCCCTGAGAACGCCTTCGGGCTGCCTGAGGATGAGTTCCTGGTGCTGCTGCGCTGTGTGGGTGAGCCCCTCCCTGACCCCACCGGGGCCCCCGCCCACCTCTGACCAGCCACAGGGCTGGCCCGCAGCGCAGCGAAGGCAGAGGCCCAGGGGGGTGCCGCGCTTCTGGAGCAAGATTCCAAACACAGAACCCAAGAGGCCTTCCATTCAGACCCGGGGCAGGCCATAATAAGTGGGCAGGGCCCAGGGTCTGACTCCTGCTGATCAGCAGTTTAAAACTCCAGCTGAAAAATCAAATGGAAAGCAGGCTGCCCACCAGTATTCCTAACAGCATTATCCACACCAGCCACCAGGGGAGAGCAATGCCAATATCACAGGTAGATGCACGGCCCACACGTACAATGGGATGCTACACCGCCTTAAAAAGGAATAACATTCTGACCCAGTGCGGATGCGCCTGGAGGACGTTACGACAAGTGAAATAAACCCGACACACAAATACTTACGTGAGGGACCGAGAGTAATCAAATCCTCAGAGACGGACCTTGGACCAGGGGGCCTGGGAGGAGGGTGGAGAGCGATTACTTAATAGGTAGAGTGTCTGGTTGGGAGGTTGACAAAGTTCTGGAGACGGATGGTGGTGATGGTTGCACAACAAGGTGAATGGACTTAATGCCACTGAGCTGTATCCTTAAAATAGGTAAAACTGCACATTTTGTTGGGCGTACTTAACATGTTTTAAATAAAAAATTTAAAAATAATCAAATAGAGCAGGCGGCCTGCCATTTTCAGGGAGCCAGCGCCTCCATCTCTGATGGTTGCTTAGTAACGCCTCACGGACCCTCCACAGCCAGGTCCTTGGGACCCCCCCTCCTGTGCCCTGTGCCCATCTCTGTTCTGCTGCTTGGCCGGTGGCCGGTCAGCCGTGGGAGCTATCTGGGCCCCAGGGCAGCCTCCCCTCCAAGACTAGCCCCAGATGCCGGCCTGTCCCAGCCGGAGCCAGCGCAGCCCCTCTGTCCGCAGTGGCCGGCATGAACCACCTGCGGGAGCACGGCGTCGTCCACCGCGACATCAAGCCGGGCAACATCATGCGCCTCCTCGGGGAGGAGGGCCAGAGCATCTACAAGCTGACGGACTTCGGGGCCGCCCGCGAGCTGGACGACGACGAGTACTTCGTCTCGGTCTACGGGACGGAGGAGTACCTGGTGAGTGGGAGCTGGGCCCCGCGGCCCCGCTGAGGGCCACCCCTGCCGCTGGCGGCCCCTCACCTTCTGAGGGCCTCTGTCCTCTCCCCTGCATCCAGCGGGGACAGGTCTCACCCTCTGCACCCCAACCGGAAGAACCCACTCTGTTCTCTAAGGAAAAGACGCTGCTGCAGCCTTCCCGGCCTCCATGCCCGGCCTCCCTCCCCAGCCTCCCTCCCCGGCCTCTCTCCCCCGGCCTCCCTGCCCAGCCTCCCTCCCTGGCCTCCCTCCCCCAGCCTCCCTCCCCCAGCCTTCCTTCCCAGCATCCCTGCCCGGCCTCCCTCCCCAGCCTCTCTCCCTGGCCTCTCTCCCCCGGCCTCCCTGCCCTGGCCTTCCTCCCCCAGCCTCCCTGCCCGGCCTCCCTTGTGCAGTGAGCTGCTTGATCTGACCCTCATGGAGGAAGGGACCCCACTGGCACCACCTCTCCCGGGCACAGGGAGGGCAAATAAACACGCTCTGGACAGGCCAGCTCCATGCCAACGTCTGAGATGACGAAGGTCTGGATTCTGGTGGTCTGTGGCCACCAGAAGGCAGTGGAAGGGGGTCTGCTGGGCGGGCACAGGCCCCGCGCGCCCTCTCCCTCCACGGCCGCCCTCTGGTTCTCCGACAGCACCCCGACATGTACGAGCGGGCCGTGCTTCGCAAGCCCCAGCAGAAGTCGTTTGGGGTGACCGTGGATCTCTGGAGCATCGGGGTGACCCTGTACCATGCAGCCACCGGCAGCCTGCCCTTCATCCCCTTTGGGGGGCCGCGGCGCAACAAGGAGATCATGTACGGTGGGCCACGGGCAGGGTCCGGGGCCTGCCTCCCTCCCTGGCCCTGCCATGTCCCCGCTCCTGCCTCTAACTCTGTGGTTCTCCTCTGGCCACCGGACCCGGCTCCTCTAACATCCTTGCCTGTCAACATCTGGCTGACGGGGACCGGCCAGACCCCTTATCTGAGCTCAATGCCTCCCTTTGGCCCCCAACTGGTTGCTCATCTCACTTCAACCGGGCTCCAGGGACACTGTCAGGGCAGAGGAGGGCAAGACCAGCACCCAGGTCCCAGGTCCTCCCCGGCCCAGCTGTCTGATACAGAAGTAGCTGGAGACAGTGCCGCTCCCACGGCCTGCGTGGCCCAGAGCAGAGAGGTTTAAGGCTGACACACGGCAGGTCCGTGCACCCACCCTCCGCTCGGTCAGCCGTGTGGGGGCTGCTGAGGTCAGGGAAAGGGCACAGATGGTGCTGTCGGGCGGGTTGGACATTGGAGGAAAGAGGACAGTGACGCGGAGGAGGAGGACATCGGCCAAGCACAGCGCAGGCGGAGGTGTGGAGGCCGCCCGCTGTGGATGCACGTCAGGGGACAGAGGGGCTGGACAGTGGGGGCAGCAGGGTGGGACTGGGGAGCACCGAGGCCAGGTGCCCTGGTTGGCTGAGAGCCTGGACTCTCAAATGCCATTGTCAGGCTGCCTTGGAGTAGCCGGGGGGCTTGCACCAGGGCTCTGAGCCCTCCGTGCTGAGTTTGTCACCCTCTGACGTGTGATGGTCTGGAGGTCCCACTGACCTGCCTACCTCACTTACCCAGGTACCGGATCACCACGGAGAAGCCGTCCGGGGCCATTGCAGGCACCCAGAGGCAGGAGAACGGGCCCCTGGAGTGGAGCTACGCCCTCCCCATCACCTGCCAGCTGTCCATGTGAGGGTCAGACACAGATGCGTCTGGGTGGGGCATCCTCTTGGCTGAGGCCGGTCCCGGCAGGGCTCCTGGCATCTGCCCACCACCTTCCCTTTCTGACCTCAGTCTTTCCATCCGGAAGCTGGGCAGTCCTCCCAGCCCTTCCTCCCCATCCCACCCTCTGTCACCACCTGGGTCCTCGCGCTCAGGACGTCCTCCGGGGATGTCCCTGTCACCTACTCAAGGGGGACAAGGCTGGGCTCCCAGCCCTGACGGCCCCATGTCCCGGGGGCAGGGGCCTGCAGAGCCAGCTGGTGCCCGTCCTGGCCAACATCCTGGAGGTGGAGCCGGCCAAGTGCTGGGGCTTCGACCAGTTCTTTGCGGAGACCAGTGACATCCTGCAGCGCGTCATCGTCCACGTGTTCTCGCTGCCCCAGGCCGTCCTGCACCACGTCTACATCCACGCCCACAACACGTGAGTGGACGCCATGCCGGAGGGAGGCCCAGGACCGTCTCTGTCCAAGGCGGCGTTCTGGGGAGTGTTTCGATGTGGGTGCTCCTGGGGCCCATCTCAAACCCCACTGTCAGGCTGCCTTGGCGTAGCTGGGGGACTTGGTTTGCGAAAGTCCTGGTTCCACCGAGTTACCGCGAACCAGGCCTCCTCGCAGCTGCTCCCGACTCGGCGCCCGCCCACGCGGTTGGTGCGCGTTATGATCCCTGGGTGGGGTGCCTGCCGGGCGGTTCCCAGATGGGTGGCTGGAGAGTTTTGTGGAACCGGGTGCGTTTCAGTGGGAAGAGGTGCCAAGGCAGAGGCCGGCTATGGGGCTCCTGAGTTCTGCTTCCACTCCCTCCATCCACTGAAACGCACGAGCTCTCCCCTGGTCTTGCCACCACTGATAAGAAGGAAAAGCCACCCGGTCCCTTCCTCCGAGAAGCTGCGCCCTTCGCCTGGATGCAGTCTTAGCTGGGGTGTGGGTCCCCCTGCTGACACTTCCTCTCCTTACTGCCCCCCCTCCCCCCGGCGTGCCCAGGATAGCCATCTTCCTGGAGGCCGTGTACGAGCAGACCAGCGTGGCCCCCCAGAACCAGGAGTACCTATTTGAGGGTCACCTCTGTGTCCTCGAGCCCAGCCTCTCAGCACAGCACATCGCCCACACGACCGCAAGGAGCCCCCTGACGCTGTGTAGCGTGGCCACCGAGACCCCCAAGGGCCTGGCCTTTAAGGACCGTGAGTAGAGCCACTCCGGCTGGACCGTGTCTCCGCCCCCCATTCTCCTCCAAGAGGCAGGATGTGGATCCGTTTCCGTGGTGGCCCACAGGGCGCCCCCAATTCTGGGTTGGAATTTTTCATATGCCCTTGAAATGCCATGTCCCTCAGGCTGGTGGCCCGACGTTCCCGGGCTCCAGTGCCCGCAGAGCTGTGAGGCTCCCGTGGAAACAGGGAGACCTCGCTTTCATGTGCTCCCCGCAGTCTCCGCCACTGGTGGGGAAGCTTCCGAAGGTCCTTATTGGAGGAAGCTGAGCCCCAGGTGCTGGAGCGGAGGGAACGTGGCCAGAGGCCCAGAGCTTTGTCCTCCAAGTCCTAGCAGAAATATCACTTCTTCTTCTTTGAACAAGTCCCATGTCATCCTCCTACTCGGGTCTCCGAGGCCGGGAAGGGGAATTAACCTTGAAACTCCCGGGGCACAAGGGTGGTTTGGGCCCATATTCTGGCTCAGATGGGGGCCTTGGGCACGAGGCTGCAGTTTACCAAAGTGAACACAAGGGGGCAGTGAGGGACTGCAATCGTAAAGACGCGCATTACAGGGCCTCTATGGCTGGAGAGGTGGGGCTCTGGGGGTTGGAAAGCTGGGTGGTGAGGGGTGAGTGTGAGCCACAGAGGCGCCCTCAGGCGGGGTCTTTGCTTGCAGCTGCTCTGGACATCACCAAGTTTGTGCCCAAAGTGGACCTGCAGGCAGATTACAACACGGCCAAGGTTAGGGGTGGCCCCAGGGGGCAGGGGGCGGGG